CGAATTGTGAGAAATGGAAAATAATTTGAACATTTGGGACTTATTGCTATAAGTTCTGAAAGGGTTTAGACAGACACATGAGCTATCTAATGAAATGTGTATGAGCTTGATAAGTCTAGATAAAGACTTATCGAAGCACCACGTATCAGAAATCTGATCTTTGGTAAGAAGTCAATAGGGCATTGATTTCTAGAAGTCTAACTAATTTTTGGGTACATGTCAAAGCTAGTGGGAGCATAATTGTTATGTTAGAAAGAACATAATAATTATGCTAGTGGGAGCATGGTTGTTATGTTGAGTGTTGCAAGTTAGCGATGCTATTTATAGGAAACAAAGGTTACAAATTTGCAAAGTTGTAGAGTTTGGAAATTGTTTTGCTATAGTAAGATTTAAGGGATAGGATACTTGTACTTCATTTCGAATCTAAAAGCTTAGATTGAAATTTTAATGAAATTTAGTCATGAACATATATGAATATCATGTTGAAATGATTCAACATAGGAAATTCTATATATGGAAATATTATAGCAAAAGACTGATGAAGTATCATGCCTTTATCTAATACATTATGTATCGAATCCCATATGCTTTAGATATAGGATTGATCACATATGCTATAATATTCACGCGTTCTGATTTTCCAAATGCCTATGACATTAAGAGAGAAAAAGGACCAGAACCGGATATGACTAAAGTTATTAAACAATTGTCAAGGACGATTTGAGGTTCGCTGAAGATTGGTTGTTTGTGGACAGTTGGAAGTATAGTATAATTTAGGAAGGACCATATTGACATGTTCTGAATAGAGGTAACTCTTGTTCAGAATTGATAGTCATATGGAAATATGGAAATGTTTCCATTATGGGAGTTGGATATTGAGAATATATATGTAAGTTAGAAACTTTTATGCAAGAAGGATGTTCAAAGGAATGTACTTTGAATGTGAGACTTCATTTCAATGGAATTGTTTTGTAGCAAATCTCCAATGGAATGTTTTGTAATATCATTGGCCAAGTCTCTGTGACTTTGGTGCCTAGACATTACAAAATGATCATTGCATGTGAGTTTAGACTCTAACAGATTCTAGTAGTGGCAAGAATTTGATATTCTTACACTTGTGATAAGGATTTGGAATTGTGAAATGAGCATCATTGGAAATGTGTTCAATTGATCTCTTTCACAAAGAAAGGACCATAGATAAACATAGTATGCATGCTTGGAGCATGGAATGACTATTGTTTTAATTCAAGTATTAAGTTGATTAGTCGAAACATTATACAATGAATAAAGGTCTGATTAATATGGTGATTAAATAATAAGTGTTTTATTTATATTCAAAAGGTTTGAGACCATATTAGATTAGGTTATTCTTGTGTTACACTTCGCATGTTTTACTTCCCGAATAATAAGATTATTCAAACGTCCACAGTCGATCATACTTTGGAAGTAAGTAATGAATTAAGAGTGTCATGAATCCGACTGTAGATTGTCTAAGTTCTAAGATATAGCAAATGTTTGTTGCAGTGATCATGAGTACTCCTGAAATAAGAATTTGAGTATTGGATTAAACCCACGCTCATGTGAATCACTTCATGAATTTTATCACGAGTGATTGTGAGACGATAATATCTTATATTCTTGAAACAGAGACATGTGAGATGTTATTTACAAATCGGTTGTGCATTGATAATATGTAAACGCATCAGTAACTTGATGTTATAAAACGTATTGTTGTGCGTGATTTGATGAGTAAATTGTACAAGCATATGAGTCGAAGTTTATCCGTTCCTTTTACCCTAAATGGGATAAAAGAGATATATGTGGGCCCCTCGATGATTTAGTGATGACAAATAAAGCGCTTGGCTAAGCCTGGACTAAGTTGATGTGTTCAACTGTAGTCTATGTCAGTCGTCATAAATCGGAAATCGGGAAACAAACCTTGGACAATGAGAATGATTATAATCAATGTCTCGTGTCCGTACGATATCTTGTAGAACGATGGGATATTTGATCATTTATCTAAATGATGCGTTACTAATAAGATCAGAGTTCGACAACGGCTTTTGAAAGCTACGATTGCTAGTCAAATTTTGAAGTCATACTTGCAATAATAGTTATTAGACTTATCCAAGTGGGAGACTGTTGGATTTGGTGTCTAAGTCCAAAACTATAATTGGTGTGTACTTGATTTGATATGTAGCATGATCCTTTTGGGTTGCCTTCACTCATGCAACTTAACAGGATGACTAGTGGAGAGAGTGTGGAATTTATTATGTGAAATAATAAATTGGTACTCAAAATGATTTTATTAATATATTACAAGTTTAATATATTATTTGGAAATCATATTATTAATTAGTAATTAGTCAGAAATTAATTTGATATTAATTTTGGGATTAAAGGAACTGATTAATAATGGAGGGACTGTTTTGCAAATAATTGATAGTTGCAAAACTGGGCTGATAGACTCCTTAATTAGGAGTGGACGAAATCCTATTGGGAGGCCCTATAGATTTCGTCCAAGGCCTCATAAGGAGGAGTCCATGCGCTGCTTAAGCCTTAAGCAGGAATTAGGGTTTCCTCCAGAAACCCTAGCAGCCCACAGCTATATAAAGAACCCCATGTCATGGGATTTTCGTCCTATGCATAAGAATACATAACCCTAGCCGAAAATCCTTGTCTCTCCAACTTATCCTTTGCATAGGGTGTTTGTGACTCCATTAAAGGTGCAACACTTGGGGCACTAAGCTTTCAAGAGTCAAGGACTTCAATAATTGTCTTGTTATTACAATATAACAAGTGAGGTAATCTTCTAATCCTATTTCATATGTGAATTTCAAAATTGTATGCTAGTATATAGGATTATTGCTTTGGTATTCAATTTGTATGTTCAATAGTGAAAAACTTAGATCCAAAGCAATTAGGGTTGCATGATCACATAGGAATGTAGATATGCTCAAAACCCATCACTTCATGTTCTAAAACCCATAATAAGCTTCATATGAGTGTTTTAATCCCTTTGATGCCTTGCATGCCCGTAAAGTTAGCAACTTTACGTGGTATCTCAGTCATAAGGGGCTATATCTGTAGTTTGGGGCCTTGGATCCGACTGGAAAAGGCTGAATACATTAAGATAGGAAGACTCGACGAGTTGATGAGGGTTTTCTCGCTTTATGGATGATGGAGAACTCGATGAGAGTTGTATCGAGCTTTTCCCGCTTTCTGGATACTGAAGGAACTCGACGTGTTGCTAGATGCACTCGATGAGTTGGGTCAATATAGACTGTTGACTTTGACCATGGTTAACCAAGTTTGACTTTAAGGGTATTTTGGTAATTCGGGGTTTAATGAAGTAAGTCACATGTTGGTTGTAGGCAGTAGAGATCGGAGCTGAGATTTGGGGTTTGATCTTCTTGATTCAACACTACGTGTGAGGTGAGTTTTTCTCACTATATCAACAGGGTCTAAGGCATCAAGGTCGGCCCTTTTTGGATTGTATCCTAATTATAGGATGATGCTATGTTAGTGATTTGTTAGATCTATATCCTGGTATATAGGATGATGCTATGTTTAGTGATATGTTAGATCAGCATCCTGGTATATAGGATGATGCTATGTTTAGTAATCTGTTAGATCTGTATGACTGTCTGTACATGCTAGCTAGCGTATGATATTATGTGTTGATTGTGTGATTGTGGGGTGGGTTGAGGCGGTCCTGCTTCGTGCTCTAGGCCAACAGACCCAGGGCGGCCGGGATAGAATGAAGGCCCATCGGGGCATACCAGTCAGGCCGAAGGCCCGGAGAACGGTCCAGACAGGCTGAAGGCCCGGTAGGGCGAACCAGACATGCTGAAGGTTCTGAGAGTGGGCCAGATAGACTGAAGGCCCGGTGAGGGCGGTCCAGTCATACTGAAGACTCTGTATGCATGTTGTTTGTTATGATATTGTTCTGGTTTGTATGGCGTTTGTATTTTGGGGGAACTCCTAAGTTTCGGGCTTACAGTTGTTGATTTTGTTTCAGGTACTTCGGATGATCGTGGGAAGGCGAAAGCTTGATCGTGCACCCCCTCACATTTTATGACCTTGATTTCTGGGATTCTCTGATATGAAACTATTTTGAAAACATTTTGTAATAACTAATGGTTTTTGGATGTTTGAAAAAGTTCTAAATTTGCATGAATTTTATGGATGTTACAGTTTGTAGCTCAAAGAGAAGTCTATCGCGAGAGAGAGAGCTCATTTCCAAAGAGGGCAGTGGGAGCACGATTGATCTTGAAGACATTCAAAAGTCATCCGATGAAGCAGCTTTTGAAGATACTAGCTCTCAACCTGAGAATGAAACTGTTGAGCCCATTGACAATTCGTTGCCCCTTCGTCAATCCAGTAAGGTTAGCATGTCACCTTCGTTCTATGGTTTTCTTATAACTTGTTTAAACAACATTAAAAATGTTTAATTTTAAAATGATTTCGGAGAATGGCTAGTATTATTGGTACTAAGAAAAAGGATGAGAATTAAGATTGTATTTTTTTAAACATAAATAATAATACAACATTATAATTTATAAATTAATATTTTGATCAATACATGATAATATTCAAAGAATTATCAAATGAAATATATATTAAAGGTAAATGAGTTGGTGGGTTGAAAACGGGTTGATAATTTTTATCCAACCCAACCTATTTAATTAAATGGGTTAAGTGGGTTGACCCATTTTACTTAAATGAGTTGAAAATCTCAACCCAACCTGCTAATTTTCGGTTGGGTTCGGGTTGGGTCGATTTTTGTCGGCTTTAACTAAATACGTACAAAGTGAGAAATATATTATCCTATTAAGCCATTTTTTCCGACTTATCTGGAGTAGTCGGTCGTAAGGACCGAATGTGTACAGTTAAACAAGTTGAAGGAGCAAATATGAATAAAAAAACGACCAAATATATGCAAATTAAAAAATATATTACCTTCTAAGACATTATTAAAAAAAAAAAGAAAAAAAAAGCAACAAGTTGTTTTGTTGTTGTAAGCCAAGATGGTCGGTTAATGTTGAGCTCTTCCTTTGAATACCCAAATCTCAATTCCCCAATATTCCCACTTAAACCCTAACATTTATCGCCTTTGATTCCACTCATCATCATCCAATTTTGCATTATTCGTCGACAGCCTTGATCCTCCAGGCACACCTACTATAATTTGATTAATCATTTACCTAATGGAAGCTTGTGTGATTAACCGGTCATTGTGAGTTGATTTTCTGTTTGTTTCTCCTCAAATTTACCAATAATGGCCGAGGAAGAAGATAACGACGCCGTATTAAGTGATGTTGAAGAAGAAGATAATCCTCCGCCGACGGTGTTTGATGGAACTTCCTCGTCAACAGAGAATGTGTCGGTTGAGAGATTCCGAGAGGTGGTTGCGGAGCTTGATCGTGAACGCAAAGCTCGTGAGGCGGCAGAGAATTCGAAATCCGAATTGCAAACTTCGTTTAACCGGTTGAAAGTTCTCGCACATGAGGCGATCAAGAAACGCGACGAGGTTACTCGCCAGAGAGATGAGGTTTCTAGGGCGAATGAGAAGTTATCGGCGCAGTTAGCTGAAGCTGTTAAAGAGAAAGATGATTTGTTGAAGCAGAAAGAGGATTTCGCTAAGCAATTAGAGGAATCCGTGAAGGCAAAGGATTCATCTAGGTCGGAGATCGAAACTGCAGCTCAAATGTTAGTCACAGGAATTGATAAAGTATCAGGTAAAGTGAGTAACTATAAGAACTTCACTGCCGGAGGGTTACCTAGGTCTCAAAAGTATTCCGGATTGCCTGCTATTGCTTATGGAGTCATCAAGAGGTCAAATGAGATTGTTGAGGAGCTTCATAGACAGATCGAATCAACAACAAAATCAAGGAATGAGGCTCGGGAGCAAATAGATCAGAGGAATTACGAGATCGCCATTGAAGTATCTCAGCTTGAATCCACCATTGATGGACTTAGAGAGGACGTCTCTAAGAGGGATTCTGTCGTTCAGGATTTGGAGAAGTCCATAGCTGAAAAGGATGAAAAGATATCGAATTTGGAAACAGAGTTGTCAACGATACAAGGGTTAGTGGATGATTATGGTGTAAAGTTGAAGAACATGGAGTTGCGGATGGATTCACAAAAGCCATTGCTAGTTAACCAGTTGGATTATGTTTCAAGAATACATGGTCAAATCTGTAGTGTTATCAAGATACTGGATGATGATAAGAAAAACCAATTGGATTTGTCAGAATCCTTATTTCTCCCACAAGAAACAGACATTGAAGAGAATATACGTGCCTGTTTAGCGGGATTGGAATCCGTAAGTGACTTAAGCTCAATTGTTCACGAAAAAACAAAGGATTTGGTTGCTGAGAGAAACCTACAAGTGAAAAGCCTGAATGAAAGCATAACTCATCTAATAAGGGAGAAAGAACATATCGGGTCTCTGCTGAGAAGTGCTTTATCAAGAAGAATGTCAGCTGATCTATCATCTAAAACCAATGAACTTTTCAGAGTTACAGAAAATGGGTTAAGAGAAGCAGGGATTGATTACACATTTAGCAATCATACAGATTCAGATGTGGACAAAACAGACGATGAAATATACACTTTGGTGTGTGTGTCTTAACACCAACTTTACACATCACGACACTTAATTTTTTCACTTGTCTGATGTCTTAAATTGCTTTTCACAGGCTGGTGCTCTTGAAAACATTATAAAACAATCTCAGCTTGAGATTATCGAGCTACAGCATAGTGTTGATGAACTAAGGGAAGAAACAAGGGTACTTAAGGAAAATGCAGAAGCTCAAGCGAAAGAACTTATGCAAAGAAACGAAGAGGTGGAGGAACTTAAAGAAAAAGAGAGGGTAGCAAATGAAAATGTAAGTTTCCATTTCCATACTTACTCAAAATTAGGGTTAGAGTTTTAGAGTTACAAAGGTTATGTATATATGTCTGCAGGTTGAAGGGCTTATGATGGACATTGCTGCAGCTGAAGAAGAGATTACAAGATGGAAAGTTGCAGCGCAGCAAGAAGCTGAAGCAGGAAAGGCCATAGAACAAGAGTATGTGGCACAGGTAATGTGTAGATTCATATAAAATTATAAATAGTTAAATTATTCTATCTATTAACATTAAACATCATCATTCATCAATGGTTTTGTGTAGTTGTTTAAGGTGAGGCAAGAACTGGAAGAAATGAAGCAAGTGGTGATGGAATCTGAGAAAAAGATGAAGTTTAAAGAAGAAACAGCAGGTGCTGCCATGGCAGCTAGAGATGCGGCTGAGAAATCTTTGAGATTGGCGGATTTGAGAGCAGCGAGGTTGAGGGAGAGGGTGGAAGAGTTGACTCGTCAACTTGAAGAAGCTGATACACGTGTGAGTTCGAGTACAATTGGTCAAAGTGGTGCCAGGTATGTATGTTGGCCATGGCAGTGGCTTGGGTTAAATTTTGTTGGGTCCCACTCCCACACGAACACACCGGATACACACACACATAGTTCCAACGAAATGGAGCTTTCTGAACCACTTATTTAACATCATATTTTGGTTTTCTTCTCTCGGTTAGTTTCGTCTTTTTCATTTTCATGTGTGTATTTATTTATTTACTGGTAATTCTAGCATATTCTTTATTACTGTATAGAGGACTTTTTTTATCAGCAAAAAATTGGTAAGTGGCTTTGTTCTTAAAGATTATTAATTGGGGTTTTTGATTTTTAATTTGAATCTATATACAAAACAAATCTTTGTTATAAAGAGATTGAAAATCAAAGTGTCATTGATAATTTTATAAATAATTAACAAGTAAAATATTATGAAGAAAATAATGACCTTAATAAAGAATGTGTTAAAGGTGAATTTAATTGTTTTCGCAAAATCAATCTATTAAGTAATATAGATGGGTTAAAATTACCATTTTTGTGAAGAAGCAAACGTTTTTGTAATTGTAATCATTAATTTTTTTTTTCCTCAAATCAAACTATTAACAAATAGATTGGTTAATGAAAACGACTGAACATTTTTGTGTTTGGTAATTGGTAGTGGTATTTTGACTTGAGCTGTTGAGCATATTGGTTGTAACAAACGAAAGAGAAATTGTGAACTAACATGTTCGTTTTTTGTTTTTTTGTGACAAGTGAAAAATCATCCCATACCGAAAAGATTCTTGACAAATTACAAAAATTAAATACACAGAATACTTTGCATTGTTTATCCAAACATGTGTCATTATCATTAACCGCAACGCTTTTTCGTATCGTAGTTTCTCATCAATACCAACACATTTTTTTTTCTTTACAAACAAATAAGATACGTGCAAAACCTCAAAACAAAAATAATAAGATATAAGGTAAAGGGAAATCTCCGGAAAAGTCTCAATATTTTATCCTAATTTACGAAAAAGTCTCAAACTAAAATTTGCTTACGAAAAAGTCTCAATTACCGGTAAAAACGACGATTTGGCCATATTTTCCCGATTTACCGGTTTCATTAATTACCGGGTTTTAATAAAGTTCCATTATTTTACCATAATTTACGAATAAGTCCCAAACTATGGTAAAATAATGAGACTTTAATGAAAATTATAATAAAATAATGAGACTTTAATGAAACCGGGTAAGTATTGAAACCGATAAACCGGAAAAAAATGGTCAAAACGTCATTTTTTCCAGTAATCGGGACTTTTTCATAAACCAATTTTAGTTTGGGACTTTTTCGTAAATTAGGGTGAAATGTTAGGACTTTTCCAAAGATTTCCCTAAGGTAAATTACATGAATGGTCCTAATAGTTTGGAGTTGTGTGCATGTTTGGTTCATAGTTTTTTTTTTAAAACTCAGATCATCCATGTAGTTTATTATATTGTCTTTTATATAATTTTTACAATTTAATTATTATTTATTAATAATTAATATCTTTAGAAAATTTAATAACCCCATCGTCATTCTGTCCCAACCCCCCTTCTAAACCTGGTAGATCGTCTCACCCACCCCTTTCCCACTGTCATTACCCACCATAACTTACAGCTCTAACTTGAAAAAACTGAAAACCCAAACCAAATAAGGCGTCATCTCTGAATAACACCAACCTCATCACTCCTTCACTCTCCATCCTTATTCTCTCATGGCGCTCAATAACCCCACTGCCCATATCTTCTCTTCCTGTCTTCTTTTCCCTTCGATTTTCTAAATTTTCAATCGATCTTAGAAAAAAAAAACTAGAATCCTGAATTCTAAATTTAGAAATATATTGAAACCTACAATCTTATGTACCTTTCTTTTTCCCTAAAACCCTCTAAATCCCCCTTCATAGTTCATTTAAAAAAATCATTGTTCTTTTCACCTTCAATCAGGGAAGAGATCCTTTCAGATGATGGATTCAGATCGTAGAAGAAACATGTTACATAAAACGAGTTTTGTGGGGCATCTGAAATTGACTTTTGAATTCGCTTATGAGAAGATGAACTGTCGTTGAAATTAGTTTTAGAATCGACAATGATAAGATACCGTTGATGGATTTAATGTCGACGGTGAGTTTGAACGTGATTAGCAAAATGATTTTTGGGGAAGAGACATTTTGAGAACTCTAGAAGACCCCATGTTATTCACAAAACCTTCTTAAAGAAATGTATAATGGATAAGCTACATAAGCAATATATTGATTTTCTTCTCTAAGGGAGGAGGGAGTCATTCCCTCCCAACCCACTGAACCCACTGTCACATCAGTTTTTCTCTTTCATTTTTCTTCATCTTTCCCAACCCACAACACACGGAAATCCTATCTTTTTCAACTCATTCAATTAAAAAAATACAAAACAATCAAGGTAAAATCTTAATTAGCAATAGAGTTACCGCCGGTACCACTCTCTCTTCAGCAGGTTGTTTAATTGGTTTCAATAACCCACTTCATCCTGTATCTCTACTTTATCTCTCATTTTCTCTCTCTACTTTATCTCTCTTATTTTCTCTTGCACCATGTGTTTTAAAAGTTGTACCTTAGTTGTTTTGTATTTTTTTTAATTGAGTGAGTTGAGAAAGATAGGATTCCGGGTGTTATGGGTTGGGAAAAATGAAGAAAAATAAAAGAGAAAAACTGATGTGGCAGTTGGTTCAGTAGGTTGGAAGGGAATGACTCCCTCTTCCCTGAGATGCACAATTTCATAACATCAGAACGAAAGAGGTGAAAGAGTGGGTGGTCGTCGGAGACTATGTGGTATTACTAGAATACAGACGACGGGAGTGTGGTGACATGTGATGCCAACAATGACGAGATGGTAATGGTGGGGAAGGAGATGAGATCAAGGGTATATGGTGTTGCATGGGTTGATTAGTCTTTTAATTATTAATATAAAAGGGAAAAAAGAACATAAAAAAAATAGTAGATAAATCAAAAGGACAAAAGGATCATTTTAGGTTAGTTGGGGATTAAGCCGAAATAAAACCAAACCATAAAGATGGCCGGGACTAAAAAAATAATTAAAGATAATTATATATATATAACATATTGACTACCACAAATCATAGAGTACACTAAAATAAATTGCAACATTTGTAACAAACCACAAAAGAAAATTTGCGATTTTAGCCCGACGTGAAAAGAAAATTTGCAATTTTAGCCCGACGTGACGTGTTCACTCTCTCGTTCAACCATTCAAGAACGCAAACCAATTCATTTCTCGGATCTAGTTTCGTTTCACATATTTTTCGAGACTTAATTTGTTGCATAAAATCATTATACTTATGTTTTTTATTTTATTATTAATTTTGGTAGTAAATTCCAGTAAAGCAGTCCCTATAAATAGCAAGCAATAGGATCCAAGGGGAAAGAATTGGATGACGCTGGCACTTTGACCGCTTCTGGTTTCCCGGTCAAATATGGCCACCACCTTCCTCTTTCCTCTTCTTCTTTGCGATTCAATCTTGAATCTTGAAATAATAATAATCCAAATCTCTCGTATTATAATTATCATTTAATTATTACCATTAAAACTTTCACCTTACACTCCTGTTTTCTATCCTCCTCCTCCTTCTCCTTCTTCATCATCTTCTTCTTCCAAGTCTTCGTTCAACGATCTGCGCCCGCTTTTTCTGAATTCCTATTTAATGTATACCCCACGATAGCTCAGTCGTTTACTCAGTCCATTCTACTGCTAGCTGCTTTGCTTTATTTTCTTCACAGTCAAGGGTTTTAGGTGAGAATTTTTATTACTTTTGATTTTTGAATCTCTGATAAGATAATCAGTTTATTGGCCTTTCCTAGAACCATCCTCAGATGAGTTTAATCCGCTAGTTCTCTAGAAAAACAAAGGTATAATGTTCAAGGAAGAAGACAAACCAGCACAGCCGCCGCCTCCACCTGCAGCAGCAGCCACAGCCGGAGGAGGAGGAGGGAAAATATACTCCCGGTCAGTTTCCTGGGCGGGACGCTCGCTCACAAATCCAACTCCCGGCAACCCTAAATCACTCTGGAACAGCAAGGCTAGGGCATGTTTGCCGCCGCTTCAACCTCTTTCAGTTTCCCGGCCGAAAGCCGAGGAGTGGCCAAGAGCAGGCTCCGACGATCTCGGAGTTTGGCCGAATGTCACCGCCACCACCCCCGGCGCCAGACCTAGACCTCCTGCTCTTCCTCTAAACTTAGGAAAACCCCCTTTAGAGTTCGAATTTAAGAAAGACAAACTCGCGTTCTTCGACAAAGAGTGTTCGCGAATCATAGATCACGTATTTCTAGGAAGCGACGCCGTCGCCAAAAACCGCGACGTTCTTCGCCAAAACGGAATCACCCATGTTTTGAACTGTGTAGGTTTCGTATGTCCGGAGTATTTCAAAACCGATTTGGTTTACAAAACGCTTTGGCTTCAAGACAGCCCGTCGGAGGACATCACCAGCATCCTGTACGACGTTTTTGACTATTTTGAAGACGTTCGAGAGCAAAACGGACGTGTTTTTGTCCACTGCTGCCAGGGTGTTTCCCGATCAACCTCCTTGGTCATCGCGTATCTCATGTGGAGAGAAGGACACAGCTTCGAAGACGCGTTTCAACAAGTGAAGGCATCAAGAGGGGTGACTAACCCTAACATGGGTTTCGCTAGCCAGCTTTTACAGTGTCAGAAACGGGTCCATGCTGTTCCGGTGAGTCCAAGTTCAGTTTTGCGAATCTACAGGATCGCTCCACACTCGTCTTATGCACCACTTCATCTTGTTCCTAAATTGTTAGCTAAACCTAGCCAACAGGCTCTTGATTCTCGTGGGGCTTTCATTGTGAATGTTCCTTCTGCTGTTTATGTTTGGATTGGGAAGATTTGTGATCCGTTGATGTATGATAGTGCGAGGATAGCAGCTTCTCAGGTGATTAGGTATGAAAAGGCAAATGGGCCGGCTTTGACTGTTAAAGAAGGGGAAGAACCGGATGAGTTCTGGGATGCAATTGGGAACGAAGGAGATAAGGGTATTCCTGGAAAAAGAAAAATAGTTGAATACGATATAGATTTTGGGGTTTTCACCAAGGCGGCAAACAGCGGTGTGGTTCCACCGTTATCCATCTCCGGGAAGAACGATTCCGAGATGTGTCTGCCAGCTAGACGAAGTGGTTGGGAAAGATTAAGGAAGAAGTTTACAACTGGAATCATGAAGGAGTTGATTACCTCGTCTATAGTAGTTGAGTCCCCGGAATCGGAATCACAATCGCAATGTGACTCGCCGGATTCTTGTTCTTCGTTTTCCGAGGTTTCAGTTAGCCGGAGTTGGGTGAAGGCAACTCCGGGTATCGGTTCTAAGGGAAGTGAAGATGATAATAACTCGGAATGCATATCACCAGATTCTTTCTCTTCTTTTCTTGTTAAAGATCCAAGAAAGTTTGATGATAATAATAACACCTCCCCCTTGATCTCGCCTTCAACATCTGATTACTCCAATTCGTTTTCTTTCTCACCAACATCATCTAACTGGTCTGACTTATCTTTATCTGCTCAACCTTCCCCTTCCGGATTGGAATCTGTGAATCCGATTCCGAATAGGCCTAAAGTAAGAGAGATTTCACCTCCAAAGAACCTGCTCAGGACATGGTCGTTTTCCATGGAGGATCAAAGCATGGAAGATGCTGAAGAAGAGAGCTCGAGTGATGCGGATGAGCATGAGTCAATGTTTGAAGCTGAGTTTGTTCTTTATCGGTGGCCTAGTATGGAAAAAGTTGAAATGGGTAGTAACATGGGAATTCCTGATTCCAGAGGTGTGTATATAACTTATATTGCAGATGTAGTATATATTTGGGTGGGGCGAACAAGTGGGGAAGATGATGATAACCAGTGGCAGATTGTTGGTGATGACTTCATTGTTAGAAAAGGTCTGGCAACAAGCTCTATTGTTCAGGTAATGTGTTTAATTTGAAAAGGCTTCTAGAAACTAGTTTACTTGTATCTTCAAGTCCTATTACTTATAATATTTTGTATATGAATGATTATGATGAACAGATAGTGAGAGAAGGTGAAGAACCGGAGCAACTATGGAAGCATCTTCACTGTTTCTCATTCCAGAACACAGGAGAGAAACATTAGAAGCATCCGAGGCAGTTTCTGCTTTTGTGATGCAGTGATGTATGAAAATGAAAATGTTGGTTTAATTTTTTTCCATTATGTGGGTGGGAATTTATGTACAGTTTCTAGTAAAAAAGAAAAGAAACTGGATGGAATCAACTTATTCCTCGTTGGCTTTGTATATGTTACTATTCTACAACATGAAATGTTATTATTTTAATATCTTAACCTATCAATATTTTGGGAAATTCAATAGTAGAAAACCAAAAATTAGCTCATTCAAAGAGTATAGTCATTCAACCTTTGTACATACAAAGAAACCTAATAACAGAATCCAAGAGTATCTGATTGCATAGATTCTTAGATATTACATTACATAATACTAATAGGTATATATATATATATATATATATATATATATATATATATATATATATATATATATATATATTAGAAGGCAGTAGGTCTCATACCTTAAACAGTCATATATAATATAATTTAGGCATTCCGACCTCGACCACGGCCACGACCTCCTCGACCACGTGGGGCCCATGGTCTCACATTGCCACGAGAACTTCCCCTGCCTCCCCAATCATTTCCTCTGCTTTGCACATTTACTGAACTACCCCTCAAGGGTGTAAAAGATGACCATGGCCTTCCCCAGGAACTTCCTTCTCCACAATCTACTTTTTTGCCACTTGTCCAACCAGTCAATGAACTTTGATTCTCTTGAGATGCATCTGGCTTGTCTGCATTCAACCATGGATTACCCATACTACCCTTCTCCTTGTCTCTGTTCTCAGAGCACTCAGCTATATTAGCATTTGGGACATCACTTGGGCCAGGGTCACCACTTACTACCATGCTTGAATGATTGACATCTGGCAATGGCAATGACATTTCTGTGTTTGAGTTTGCCTTGCTGAAATGATCCCATGGGTTTGCTTCTCCTCCTACAGATATAACATGTTTTAGTATCTTATTCTTATTCTTGTGAGATTTGAAGACATGTAGCTACCTGTATTGGAGTCTTTTGAGACATTTGTGTTGTTGTCATTACTGTTGGACACCAAGTTTTCTGCAGCATCTTTGCCATCAGTTACAGTTACAGTTACAGGAGCTTGTTCAACACCATTAGTGACTGCTTCCTTATCCTTATCCTTAGCAGCTTCTGGATCATATTGCTTCACATAACAGACATCAAGAAGAGCCGAATAGTTTATCTGCACAGACACACAACAAAACAAACATATGGGTAGTGATTAATTATTCACAGAGATATAGGGGATTATTTTTCAGGGTGAAAGGTTTGAGTAGTACCTCTAAAGTACCATCTTCTCCATAAAGAGAATCATTGGGCCTGTTCTCATCCGTTTTATCAGTAACAATGGGATATTCTGGCACTGGAATCAGAACAATGTCCCTCGCATCATAATATGATATTCTTCCAACCTGCAATATAAAAACATTTTTTTACTTTTTACTTTTCACACAAACAAGAAAAGAAATAAAAACATATATATATATATATATATATATATATATATATATATATATAACTTCAGAGAAGAAAGTTACACGGAAGGATGAAAACTCAGGGATCCATGAAGAAGATAACTCAAGGAGACGATATGCAATCACATCACCTTCCTGCAAATTATAACAAATACAATTTGAAAAAAAAAAAATCTTCTCCAAGTATGTGGATGCATGCACTCTGTGTTGTGTGTGTGTGAGAGAGAGAGAGAGAGAGAGAGAGAGAGAGAGAGAGAGAGACCTTTGGTGAACAACAAGGAGGAAGCTTGCTGAAATCATTGGGGTCAATTATGGGTACTTGCATATCTGTAATGGACATTTTGAAGGATTTTTTGTCTATTCTTTTAGTGTCATTCCTTCGTGAGGTTGAGAACTTTCCATTACTACCCCATCTTTGACCTTTTTTCTTTCCATTACTACTACCATTCCACCTAAAAGCTTCCTGAACCAAAACTCAACAAATTCATGGTATCAAAGACTCGTGTGACATACTGTAGTTATACTACTTTCATGCAAGGACATGAAAACTTCAGAATGTGAAAAATGTATGCTTATTCTCATATCAGCATTGCATTTAATCATCTAGGCCCCAATTACCCATGTGTTTAAGACGTAAAATTCCATGCCCTTTAAGAATTTAAAGTTTTAGCTTCTTGATAAGATCCCTAGTCACTCAAGCCATTTAACATGCAATACACAATGCATCAAAGACAGAATTATTGATTATGTGATATTATTGATGGCTAATCAAGAGTTGTGAAGCATACATTTGATACTTCAGTCTGTATTGCAGTTTGATCTGCATAAGACAAGAACAATGAAAATTAGCACTCTGTAATGAGACAAATAACTCGACCCATGACAAAATCAATAATAAGTAAATAAACGTAAACTACAAGATTATGGGTCAAAGTACACTACCATGTCTCTTTCAAATGGCTACTCGTTAAATTACACTTGACTTAAGTATTAAATATACATTCAACAAGGATAAACCAATCAGTGTCTCTAACCTCCCCCTTGGTCCATTCCTATGGGATTTGGATATTGTTGTTGTGATAAAAGGGTAAGAATCACATGCTAACAAATAATGTTGATATATGAAAAAACTACCTTCATCAAGATTTTCAAACCGAATATGTCCTGGCCTTTTTACAACAGCCACATCCCCATTCTGATTGCTTGCTTCTTCTACTCTATTCTTATGCACAGGCTTTTTAGAAGCCTGTTTCCAGTGTAGCTGCAAATTGAAATTTTTATCAAAGAATGCAAAAATACTTCATAGTTGCAGGAAATTTAATGCACAATTAGTTACTTACTAGTCCCTTAGGCCGACCATTAGCATCCTTGTTTTCAGCTGGAGTTACTACAGGCTTTGAATAGGGTTGTGGCTACAAGTTCAATATTGTCAACAAGTGGATATGAGTCTGGAGGCATAAATTACAAATTTGACCTTTTATTCATCCTCAAAAACTTTAGCAAAACAGTTACCTTCTTCTTTGAGATTTTAGCCAGTTCTTGCATCCATTGTCTCTTAGCCTTTTTCCTTCTAGCACTTCTACTAGGCATCTAGCAATTTGGTGGGACCCAGACATTTAAAACTTATAATTATATCAAAAGAAACTTTTTACTTTTTAGTATACACAACTATTACCAACCTTTTTCCCACCAGGAGCAGACACTTGTTTTGCTTGTTCAGCATTCTTATCATTGTCAAATTCCTGTGTCTCAGCCTCATTTTCAACATCATCCAACACCCTCAAACAGGGTCTCTTATTTCTGATATTCACAAAAGCAAACAAGTTTTTAATACCTTAGTGATGTTAGATTCATAATAAGATAAAAGGTACACAAGATATAGGATTTACTTCGAGTTTTGAAGTTTAATGGAGGCTTTTCTTTTCTTAGAAACTGGTTCTTCATCTTCTTCATCTTGCGACTGTTCTTCATCAACCTCCTCAGATTCACTTTGGACTTCTTCAGTTCCTTTATCATTTGCTAAAAGTAGCAAACCATTCTCTCCAGGTTCCAAGTCATCAGCTTCCACTTCATCAAGCAAATTGTCTGCATCAGGTGTTGCCCCACCCTTCTTTTTAACACTAAAATAACAAAAAGTAATGCATACTTGTTAAACATATGATTACATATTTACTGGAGGATGGTTAATATAAAACTAAAGATTTTAACTACCAGATAAGTTCCTTATCTTTCAAGATTTCAGTTGACTCGGAAGGTGGTAACACAAAGCCATCCATCTGCAAGGAAAGAAACAGCTAAGTATGATGCAAATAAGATAGCAAACACTAAACTTTATGCATCAACTCAGCACTTAACACAAATTACCATAATAGGTAGTATTCCTAGAGCTATAAGAATGGTAATGTACTAAATAAAATCAAATACATACCCACAACGACACTGGGACCAATTTGCATAGAATTATTTTTCTTGTTTTCATGTCTGTTACCTTTTTACAGTATTAAGGTATAAAGAGTTACAATAACCACCAGAAAACATCTAAGAGATCCTTTGCATTCATGTTAAGAAAGGACAATGGAAAAAACCAACTAAATTTACCAAGGGTGACTCTTTATATTAACTTTTTTTAAGAATAAATACATATGTATTATTTTTAAAGTACCAAAATCAGAATACATACATTCTTGTCAAATTTACATTTGAAAAGTGTCAACTCAAAAAATCAAGAGCAGGCTCTTTTTGGAACAGATTGAGTTGATAGCAACAGGAGATTAAAAAGTACCAACCTACAAAACTTAGCAATAAACTTAAGCAACAACTCATCAACACCCAAAAAGGGCGATTTACACAAAATTAACATTTGGAATAAGAATAGCCCTTGTTGGACTAACGATTTAGAAAAAATTAGGGTTTTAGCACATACATTACGGCATAACAAGAGAGGATAGAAAGAGAGTTACAGAAAGTAGGATCCCATTAGGGCAAGAGCGATGGAGTTTGAAAATGTGGAGAAGATGAGTGCAGACATCGGAGATAGTTCGATGTTGTTGTAATTTGAGCAGAAGCCAGCTTTTGTTCATCCCATCCGATCGCTGTGGTTTGCTAAGAATCGAACGATCTCCGAACTTCAGACGGACCCTTAACGATGGAGTCTCCATTTTTACATGCAGAACACACACTCACACCGTAATCTGTAGAGAGAGAGAACGAAAAATACGATTGACGGAAATCGGACAAAGTGCTGAGTGCATATAGTGACACAACCGCCGTGCTCCTCCGCGCTCTAAAACCCCACCACCGTAAATCGGTCTCGGGGAGTCATTGGTGGTGTTAATACGTTATATGTACTACCACGACAGAATATATACGGAGTTTTCTAACAAAATAGAGTTATTTGAAAAAATATTTACTAAACTAGCGTTTTTCTTCAATTTTTTCTTTATATTTCATTTTTTTTATTATTTTTTATTTATTTTAAATATCATTTTTCTTACTTTTTATTTTATTTCAGTTTTTACTATATTTTTTTATTTTTCTTAATATCAACTTTTTTTTATTTCAATTTTTTACATTTAAAAAAAATATATCCACTTAACATAAATGCTTTCACATTATTTATACAAATTATATAAATCATTTAGAACATCAAAATTTAACCGTCTTAACTTAAAACTACCATTACACATCCGAGTTCTTCCTACATCCTCATGAAGCATATTGACTACAATCACCGTTTAGTGAATTACTACCAAAATGTTTATATTTAATATTTTGGGCAAATGTCATATTAACTCATCAAATTTATCATGTTTGTTTTAAAAGGTTACTAAACTATTTTTTTTTTACACATTAAGGAGACTAACTCTCATATGACCGTTTAATCACGTCATTTTACCGATTGTAAAAGGTTTAAAAAATATTTTGGTGACGTGACCTCCACAGTGGAACGTGAATCGACTAGTATTGTTCCTATCTTGGTACCCAAGTTTGTCAAGTCATCCTCGATGGCCCCCCTTATAAATTGAAGGGGTACCCTAAATGAGTGTTCCCCACCCACTTTATTACCCTAATCGTATCATTTGCTTAATACAACAAATTTCGATATTTTCCCCCTTATAAATCAAGAAGATGACCTCAGAACAAAGCTTCTCTTATGATGGTTTCAGAGTATCGGACCTAGACGTACCAACTGACTACGAGCTTCACGCCATGGAAACCCAAGTGCAGATTGAGGAAGTGAGAGATGACATGCGACAATAGCTAGGCGATTTTAGGGAGGAAATACGTTACTTGAAAAAGATCGTGACTGTGATGTCTGTTGTTGGATGGAACTCTTATGGGGTGATGGAGGCTGAGGGTGGACACAATCACAAGAGGCTCAAAAATCAAAAGTGAGGTGTCAGGGTTTGGATGGAACTCTTATGGGGTGATGGAGGCTGAGGGTGGACGAAACCCTATCCTCTCATCCTTTAAATAGGGAACAAGGACCAAAATCCTAGGGTTTTGTGCACAGTATCATGCTACGCCATTTAAATGTTCATCGTGTCGTGGTGACTCGGTAATACCATAACACAGGGAGGCAATATCCACAAACCCAATTTAAACTTAAACCATGCACAAAATTAACTATTGAGTGTTACAACTAAAGCTTCTTTTTTATTAATTTTAAAGTGAAAACAATGGGTTACGAGTGTAATTGGTGATTCCAATGATAAAACTCATTGAAATATAATGAAATGATTTTGAGTCAAAACTAATATTTAAAATTTTTAATAAACAATCAAACGAAATCAAATTATTTAAATAAGGATATGTTAGAAGTTGATTTGGAACCTCAAAACTCAAAAGTTGTAATCATTGTTTAAGATTAAAGTTAGGTTCTTTTAAGGGATGATAATAAAACCAACAATATTAAAGAAAACAACCCATTATGTTTTATGAAAAATAACTAACAAGTCTAGAATATGTCATTCTAGATTGACAAAAAAAAAATACATTTCGGACTACACATTTTGAATTTCGGATCGAAGTTACAGATTTCGAAAAAAAAAACTCTTAGAGTTTCAAGAACAAGTATGAAATACGATGAATAATTTCAGAATTTCAAGAAAATACTTCGGTTTGTACTAAAATTTAAAAGGAAATGTTAAAGAAACATAGCAAAAATGGAAGTATATATGATACAAGGCCTTAAAATCAGACATTGACTAAATAACGATGCTATGATAGGATTTAATGTTGATGCAAACTCAATATTACATATATTTAAGCTTAGGAGCTTACAATAAGTAATGGATATTATATACTAAGATTTTCATACAGATCTTAATATGATTTTTTTTATTTAATCTAAAAGCTAGTTTAGTAGGTTAGAAAAGTAATGTTTAATTTAAATATTTTGTTTTGATTAAACAACTTGGAAAAGAGAATTGCTAGAGTTTGTTAGTAGTTCCCAGTACCAACTTAGATAGAACGTGTTCTAAACAAACAATTCGTTGATTAACTGCATAATTAGAAAAGTCACTGCGAAATAAAATCGTCTTTTAATTCTGAATTTTTAATAAACTTGTTTTATGTAATTTTGTTTCAATTTTTATTTAGTAATTAAAACTCATGTTTAAGTATTTGCTTGAATTAATTTTCTCTTATGTAAAGAGACATTGACTTTCAAACGTGTCTTTGTGGTTCAATCATAGTTACTTAGTACTATCATTTTATACAACAAGTAGTGAATTTTGACACATCCAAAAGTATACAGAAAGATTATTTTCCCATTGTTTGTGTTTGTTGCTAGATTATTTTCCAATTGTTCGTGTTTGTTGCTAATGCTTTACCAATTACCATCATATGTTATTCTCCTCTTTGCTTACGGTTTTTATTTACTAGTGTATGCTCATATTTTTTGTTAGAATAAATGTTCACTTTTTACATGTTTTTCTTTTTACCAATACTACTTGTTGCTTTTCAATTAAGTTGTTGGTATTTGTTCTTTTTTTTTTCTAGCCTACTACCACTGTTCCTCTCTTTTTATGGACAAACGTTTTATATGCAGAAGATCATCCAAGATTTAATATTGTTATTATAACTGAATACTATAATTTATTTTCTAATAATTTTTTTTTCTTTTATAGAACCAGCTCGGACTTCCCACCGTCTTACTTCCTTTTATCTTATTTACTAGACGAATCCCCGCGCGTTGCGCGAGAATAAAATTATATAGTTAAAAATAATAACTTTTACCAAATTATTATTTAATATTTCTACTTTGAAACAAAATGTTAGTAGTAAAGCAAACATATAATTAACATATTAGTTTTATTAAACATTATAGTTTAATTTTTAAGTCATTATGATATATAAAATTATTTGATAATTTTATAAACCGTTTAAAATTGTGTAAATTATATATCAAATGAATGATAATATAACGGGTAAAAAAACGTATGAACAAAAATATGAACTGTAACTTTTAGTAACATAAAAATAGAAAAACATCTATTATAACATTTGCATTAAAAAAGATATATATACAACGAATAATAAAAAATATGAAAAATAAATACTATAACTTTTAATAACATAAAAACACTAAAACATCTATTATAACATTTATATTAACTATTCATATTTAAATCACAAATCTCTTCAAATACATTAATGTTTTTAATGAACAAAACTTTACAACCTTATAAAAGAAAGGAAAATAAAAAGTTATTAGTGATTACTAATTAATAATCATAAGTTAAAAACTCTTGAGTTGTAACTAATAAATATACATAAATTAGAAAACTCTTGAGTTGTAGTGTGAGTTTCAAATGAATACGGTACTTGGAAATGTATTATTATTATTATTATTATTAGTATTATTATTATTATTATTATTATTATTATTATATTCGTCTAAATAATTGGTTTTGATGCATCATTTTAATCCCTTCAATTATTAAACATAAAGATATTTAATTATAAATTTATAACATACATAGGTGCATATACATGTTAAACAAAAATCACATATATTATATATATTTTCGTAAATGTCATATGTAATTCTTGTCGTAGTAATATGGATAAATTACTTTCATATGAAGAACATATCATGATAAGTCTATCATAATTACATATCAAATGTTCAAAATTAATGTTATCTTTTAAATATTGTTTTTTAAATTTGTTGTGTAGGATAACTCAACAAAAAAATAATAGAAAATAAACATAATCAAAATAGGAAAACTACAATCAAATAAATAAGAGCATTGGGTGATTGAATATATAAATAAAGATGTTACATAAACATACATTTAAATCAAAAGAAAAAACTAACATTCGTCAACTTTGCTCAAACAAAAAAACCTATATTCATTTTATGAATCTTCTTTCTTCATTTAACACCATTCAACCATAGAAACTTGATGACAATTTTTCACTAACCTGCAATCAAATTTTTTTTCTTGAAAAAGAAGAATCAGAAAGATGTTCCAAGCAAAACATTGATGTTTGGAGAGTCACATTCAAGATCGAGTAATACACACAAATCACAAATAAAGATTAAATGAGAAACTGAATATAAAGAAAGAATAGAAAAGCTTCATTTGTTTTGGTTGAAAGAAAAATCATATTACAATTACCATCGATGCGACATAACACATTTCTTCAAATCATCATATTTGGATCGTGAATGCTTCAACTATATGAAAACTTTTGAATCACAATATCTTCAAATCATTCTTACATGTAAGATTTTATATAACACAAAATACACAAAAGATTGACCTTTTTATAGTAAACTTTTCACTAAATGCTAATTAAATATAATATAAGTTATAAAACTTTTGAGTGTTAAAATCATAATTAAGAAAACTTTTGAGTTGCATTAGTTAAAAAAGGGGGTTTCAAATGAATGTGGTTTGAGGAAGTTAAAAAAGGGGGTTTCAAATGCATGAGATTCAAGAAAAAATGTTAGCTTTATAAATATGTATGATGTAGGATTGGGGTATTGTTATTGTTATTGGTGAAAGCTCACGTGATAATAATGGAAATTGGGTAATAATATAGGGACTGTTTCTGTAGTTTACTACAAATAATAAAACAGACAGTGCCAAACAGTAGACACCACGCACACTTAGCAGCGAGTAACCAAAAACCCCGAAGCTGGCCTACAGTCCGAAGCGAGCCATGGCGGAGCTCCGCCACTCTAGCTCGATCGGCGGCAGAGCAACACCGTCTCCTAGGAAACGCGATGATGTCACATCGCCGCTTTCCTCCGACAATCATCCCCTCCACGACGACGACGACGGTGGTCGCGATCGTTACCCTAGAGATCGGTTCCGTTCACTATTCTCCAATCATTTTCAGTTATTAGATGAAAGTGCTAGGTTTTATTCCAACAACTTCAAGATCTTGCTTCTACTCATCAGTGTCCTCGTCTTTGCCGGAATTTTTTCCGTTTATTCGGTCATAAGTCGTCTGGTGAGTAATCAAATTCAATTTCAATCGGTCTTGATTCATATAGTACACATATGATTTTTGTTCGAATACCATATAATGTCTCCAGAAAACAATCCGACAACACATTATACTTTACTTAAAATCGCAAGTCTGATTAATTCGAAAGGATTTTAGGGATTCCTACTTATCTTGAAGTGTACCTTTCTTTAATGATCTCTAAAGCGAATGCCATATGTGAAGATCTCATATATGGATGTAATCAAGAATTTAGGATGTCGGTGATGTGGAGCAGTGTGTACATATATTCAAATCGATTCCCATATACGTCTTAGTTTAGGCATAGGTCAGAATGTGTTATTGTACATTAGATTTAGCTGTAGTTTGAGCATTTCGTAATCATGACAAGATTATTGGATCTACCACAACATAGAAAACTAATCCCTGGTATTGATCAAGCCAATTGCATCTGCTTAGCCTTAGTCAAATCAAAGTTGACCTGTTCATAGTATTACTTAGAAGTTGTTTGTAAAACTAAACTAATGTTCTCTGATCTATTTTAACTATTTGTAGAATGCACCATACTTATGCAAGAAAGATGGCATTACACTCCATTGCCCCCGTGTAAGCTATACTGGACTTCTTGGTTTTTATACCATATTTAATCATGTCCATCAATTAACTTCAAAGCTGTATGTCTTTTTTGCTGCCTTACTCATTAGGTCAAGGAGCCACCTTCTTTATGGGAGAATCCATTATCAACCACCACTTCTTGGAAACCTTGTGCTGAAAGACGCATTGGTGCAATTTCAGGTAAAACTTAAACATATACACAATTCTATGCGGATTCTTTATCATGATTATTCATGAGACCAATCATCCTTATACAATCTTTTGTTATTGGTTGTCTGCAGATCTTCCTGAGGCAAATGAAACAAATGGATATATATTTATTCACGCAGAGGGTGGACTAAATCAGCAAAGAATTGCTGTAAGTTTCATTCTTTTAACACTTTCTGATAAGGCTATTGGATAGATCTCATTTCCTTTTTTAATGTAGATATGCAATGCTGTTGCTGTTGCCAAAATCATGAATGCCACTCTTATTCTGCCTGTGTTAAAGCAAGACCAGATCTGGAAAGACCAAACGTGAGTTATATATATATATATATATATATATATATATATATATATATTTATTATTTAGCCTGTTCTTGATTCCTATATTTGCTTATGAGTTTTAACATTTTTCTTTATTAGGAAATTTGAGGACATATTTGACGTGGATCATTTCATTGATTACTTAAAAGACGATGTCCAAATTGTGCGCGATATTCCATCATGGTTTACTGATAAATCAGAGCTATTCACAAGCATAAGGTTGAACAAAATATCAAAAAGAGAAAGTTTAAAAAATATTTTATGCATTTATGATATAGTTTGCTAAAAAAAATTTGTATTTAAATGTATGACAGACGGACAGTGAAAAACATCCCAAAGTATGCACCAGCACAATTCTACATTGACAATGTCTTGCCCAGAATTAAAGAGAAAAAGATAATGGCCCTGAAGCCTTTTGTAGATCGACTCGGGTATGTTTTTTCTTCTATTTAATTTAAAATATTTTATTAATTCTGAACCTTGTATTTGTTTTTATACAGGTATGACAATGTCCCTCAAGAAATCAACAGACTAAGGTGCAGGGTTAACTATCATGCTCTCAAGTTTCTTCCAGAGATTGATGATATGGCTGAGCAACTGGTAGCAAGGATGAGAAATCGAACAGGAAGTCCAAATCCTTTTATGTAAGTTTTAATTAGACAAAAAATTATGTGATGTGTTAGTTTTCAACTGTTTAAAAACTTGCATGAATGAATATGTTGTTGAACAGGGCCCTTCATCTTAGATTTGAGAAAGGGATGGTAGGGCTTTCATTTTGTGACTTTGTGGGGACAAGGGCAGAGAAAGCTTTGATGGGATTATACAGATTAAAAGAATGGCCTAGGCGATTTAAGGTTAGATGTTTTTTTTATTTTTTTATTTTTATTGGTGAAAATTGAAATATGAAGTTTGGTTGGTTATTGTTTGTGCAGGATGGTTCCCATTTATGGCCACTTGCACTACAAAAAAGGAAAGAAGGACGCTGCCCGCTTGAGCCCGGGGAAGTAGCGGTCATGCTGCGGGCAATGGGCTACCCAAAAGAAACCCAAATCTACGTTGCTTCCGGGCAGGTCTATGGTGGACAGAATCGTATGGCCCCGCTTAGAAACATGTTCCCAAATCTTGTATGTGCCACCCTTTCTTCAACTTTAAGCCACCTAAAAACCTACTTTTTCAATCAACGTTTTATGTCTATGACAGGTAACGAAAGAGGAACTGACAACAAAAGACGAACTAGATGGGTTCCGGAAGCATGTGACAAGTTTAGCTGCTTTAGATTTCTTGGTGTGCTTGAAATCGGATGTTTTTGTAATGACACATGGAGGGAATTTTGCGAAATTAATAATTGGAGCAAGAAGGTACATGGGTCATAGACAAAAATCTATAAAACCAGATAAAGGGCTGCTTTCCAAATCTTTAGGAGATCCGTACATGGGATGGGCTACTTTTGTTGAAGATGTGGTGATGACTCACCAGACACGCACTGGGCTTCCGGAAGCAACGTTTCCAAATTATGACATATGGGAGAACCCTTTGACACCTTGTATGTGCAAAGCTTAATCTTAAACTAAAAAACATAACATTTCCATCTGTTTTTCTTTTTGGTGTTAATTGCGGTTTGGTTTGGTTTGGTTTGGTTGGTTTCTTGTAATATTTGGAGCTCAAAACAGTTGTGGATTAGCTAAGATGGTGGTGTAAATTAAGATAGGGAAAATATAGTGTTTTTTTTTCTTGCCATTTTTTTGAAAGAACAAATTACTTTTTTTTTTTTTTTTGGTAGTTTAAGAAGTCAATTTGTTGTATCTTGACAATTGTTTTTATCTAGGAATACTTGTTTATTTGATTTGGATTTGGTCATTCTATATGTGAAAAAATTCCTTCCGTTGTAGCAAACAATGTACAATGGTTAATGGTACATGTATTGTATCTCATGAAATCCAATCAAGAGGTGAACACATGGGCCCTGACTTGAAGCCCGGGCATACCTCTGAAATTAAGAGTGATGAAACCTTGCATGTTCAGTCTGACCGCCCATTTATCAGTCAAAGCCCGCCCACCGGCCAATTGAGTCACAATGCTCAAATCAAAGAGTCAAGACTGCATTGTATGTGACTATGTTCTACTTAATTATTTATAAATTTCTATTGTTACTGTAATAATAGATTTTTGTTATCTTTTTAACAACTTCTGGTCGTTGGAGCAAAAGGTTTGTGAATAGTTTTTTGGACAAAAACTAAACACAATTTAAATTTTCACTATTTGAAAAAATGATAAAGGTAAAAACGCATTTGGAAAAGTTGGTTTCCTTGGAGGAGATATAATTCAACACAACTTTGCATTAAACTTGTAATGTCGTAAGAGGGTAATGGTTTTTGTTCATTGTACTAGTTGTGAGACTTGTATATTATACGAGTTGATTAAAACAAAATGTTAAATACGAAAGATTAAACGGAAAGTTTATTTGAATTTGAAATTTGAAATAAGTGAAAAGTATGAGGAAAAAAACCTATAAAAATAAATAAATTAAAATTATGTGTTTAGTTGTCAGACCCATGTACTAAACGAGTTAATTATTAAAAAAATATTAAATACGAAGATTTAAACTGTAAGTTTATTTGAGATTGAAATTTGCAATTAGAAATTAATATAGTCATCATGGTATATTTAGTTTATGGAAACTAAATTAATGATATATTGAAAAATGAAAAATGAAGTAAATGACAAGTGAAAAACAAATAGCTCAAAATTAAGACAAAATGACATGTGACGAATTGAATGAGAAGATGACACGTGACAAAAATTGGATTCATTTATTAGACTAGGTTATAATCCGTGGAAATCACGGTTACAAAATAAATAAATTTTTATAGTAAAAAGCCATAATTATTAATTAACTATTTTCAATAAATTATTAACTAATATATTTAGATTATAGCCCGCAGAAACCACGGTCACAGAAATAAATAAATTTTTATAGTAAAAAATCATAATTATTAATATATTAATTTTAATAAATTATTAATTAAGATATTTATGTTTTTTATTTATGTAAAATTATCATTGTTGATTCAAATAAAATTATAATTATTGATTACCAAATGTTTTGAATTTTAATTTTCAAAATGGTAATAAATAATGCTAATTTTAAGGGATTTAGAAGAATTTTAATTTAAATGTAAAATCATAGAAAAAGTCACGTGTAATTTTAGAGAGTGGAAATGACATGTTGCAGAAAGCAGGATGCTATAAAAAATATTTTAATTTTAATTTTCCAGTCCATGTTCAAAATGGATTGCTATTTATTACAAACAAACAAAATATGTTGCTATTTATGGGATTTTATCATGAAATACACACAAATAGTCATATACTTACTCACACATACAATCACTTACATACTCACATACAGTAAAAGACATCATCATAGACCAAGAGGATGAACCCAAAGTCTCCCAGTAGGCTGCAATTTTCACATCTATTAGTTAGCATCAACAAAAGAAAAATAATGAAAAATGGGGAATTAAAACATGAAATATTAAAAAAAATCAATTTAGGGCCAAAAACAATTTACATTAATAGAAAAAATGGTGGGTCTGATAGATATCTAAACAAAACATATGATAGGCACATAAGCAGAAAAACCAAACCACATTAAGCCACAAAAATACAAAAATGTAATCATGTAACGCCCTGACTCTCAAGTACTAATTTTATAGCTTTATTTTTCATATTGGAAGGTCTACTCGACGAGTTGGATGCCCTGACTCGTCGAGTAGGAACGTTTTTTGCCACGTGTTTAAGTGACCAACTCGACGAGTTGGAGCTGAAGGATGAAACCCTAATTTCCAGGGTTTTGCACCCTATTTAAAGGGTCATTAGCCTCCCTTATCCTCCCTTACAGTCCCTTGTGAGTCCAGAAACCCTAAATCGCTGTTTTTTCCCTCTTTTTGTGTGATATTAAGCTTTGTGGTGGATTGTGGAAGGAAGATCTTGAAGTACTCAAGCTTGGAACAAGAGGAAGGCAGTAGATCTGAGTTCTTCTTCATCTTAACATCATTTTTGAGGTAACAAGTTGTTACCTTGACCTTCTTCTATCTAGATCTATGCATGTATGAGATTAGGGCCACTTTGGCAATGTTAACATGTTATTGTGGGTATTAGCCATGACCTGAAGTTGCAACTTCAGATCTAGGCTTATCTTGGTCTGTAAGATCATAAAGTTTCAGCCTTTAGTGAGTTAATACCTTTTTCATCCCTTAGAACCTTTCTTTAGCTTGATTTGAGCCATTATCACCTTGCATGTACGTAAAGTTTGCAACTTTACGTAAGAAGTATGCCTTAGGAGCTTAGGTCTGCATTATGGAGCTTTAAAGTGGCTTAAAATCGTCTGGATGGTGAAAGGACTGAAGGGACTCGACGAGTTGCATGGCCAACTCGGCGAGTCCGATGAAGATTGTCATGCAAGGATTTCTGCATAGACTCGGTGAGTCAGTAGGGTGACTCGGCGAGTCAGCTAGGGTTTTCTCGACATGTGGACATGCATGAACTCGACGAGTTTCAGGGAAACTCGATGAGTCAACTGGGGATTTCACGACTTCTCGAGTTCAGGAAGGACTCGACGAGTCGGTGAACTACACTCGACGAGTCGGGTCAACATGTACTGTTGACCTTGACCATTGACTTGGACTTTGACCAAGGGTTGACTAGTTGACTTCTGGGGAATTTTGGTAAATTGGAAATTTATGGAAATGATCTTATGGTAACTATAGGTGGTGGAGTTCGTGGCCGGGGTTCGAGAGTTTGAGTTATCACTTCGATTCGACAGTTGAGAGGTGAGTTTTTCCTCACTATACTCAAGGGTCGAAGGCACCAAGGCCGGCCCTTTGGATTGTTATCCTGATATGCTATGCTAGTATGATCTGTTAGATCGGTATCCTGGTAGATAGGATGGTATTATGTTATTACGTGGGTATGATTCGTTAGATCGGTTTGTTTGTCTATAGACTGTTATGTGATTATTTGTTATATGTGCACATGTTTGATTGGTGGTTGAGGCTTATCTGCTTTGTGCGAAAGCCAATAGACCTGGGCATTCCAACTTGTTGGTTGTGGGTCGTGAGTATTCCATCCCGAGGATGATTGGACCCATAGTATGTTGGCATTCCAACCGGATGGTTGAGGGCCTGGGGTATTCCAACCCGATGGTTGAGTGGACCCATAGTATGCTGTTTGTGATTATATGTGTATTATTGTGTGTATGAGTATTTTGGGGGAACTCACTAAGCTTTGGGCTTACAGTTTCAATTTTTGTTTCAGGTACATCAGATGATCGCGGGAAGGCAAAGGCGTGATCGTACAGCTCCTCATGTTTATGATTTGTTTATAGGATACTCTGATATTATACTATTTTGAAAACAAGTTTTGTAATGATTAATGGTTTGAAATGTTTTGAAAAAGTTTAAATTTGACATGATTTTTATAGATGTTACAAGTTGGTATTAGAGCCTTGGTTTGAGTGAATTGGAGGAACACTTGTGTGAATCCAGTCTCAAACTAAGGAAAAGATTTTCAAAATGATTTTCCAAAAGGTTTTCAAAATATCAAAGGAGGATGCAGGGTGTACGATCAGTCGGAGCCAGTAAGTAGACCCCAAAATATTATACGGTTATTTGATATTGTGGTATGTTAGAACAACATGCTAGTACTAGGCTAGGGATCTTCAGGAATTGCATGATAGAATTACCTGATTACATGATGTCTGATAGCCTAGGGTTTCCTTATATGAAATTGACATTGTTACTGTAGTTGCTTGTGTATGCATCACGACTGTACATAATTAAGATCTTATAGCCTGAGAATGTTTGGCTTGGCCATATTTCCTGTTCTTGTTTGATGAAGGACTTAGGGTAGGATCAGGTATTAGAAAGTCTATAGGGTCCATAGTTATGTATGGTTAGCATACACGAGTGCTGCAGGGTTAGTGGAAGTTTCATGGGTGGGTTGTGTGGAGCTGGTAGGTCAGTTATGAGATCGTTAGCTTCCTTTAGGAGTGAAGAATGAGCGACCACCATGCATATGTATATTGTTAGGGTGTTGTGATGATACTTGAGACAAATATGGGTAGGTGTGGAAGGTAGTATGGGCCCGTACTACTGAAAGCACAGGACCCATACACGTAGCAAGGAAGTCACAACCCCTAGGGTTTAGTTGTGAGTTGGTTCCCTGTTATTATGCGGATTATCTGATATCTTTCTGGTATATTTTCATAATGGTGGTTACGAGACGCTTTGTGGCTGGATCCGGATCAGGATCAGGATCAGGATCAGGATCAGGAGATGGCGGCCAAGAGGGATCGACAACACCTAGAGTTATGATACAGATGGGGGCAGATGAGTTAGACGCCGGGATTCGAGAGATCTTGCACGATGAGGTTGCCACTTTGTTCCGGGCACAACTGCCAGAGATGTTTGGGTCTATTAAGACCGCCATGGTCGAGTACTTCGACGAGCGTTATGCAGCCCTTGCAGAGACAGCTGCCGCCACAGCTGCATCGGCTGTAATGGCGGCCGGGGGAGGAGCCAGTCGGGCTTTTCAGTATAAGGACTTCGATAACACGAAGCCCCCTACTTTTTATGGGACTCAGGACCCCATCAAAGCCATGATGTGGGTTTCTGATGTGGAGGGGTGTTTCTTTACTTGCCCGTGTCCTACTGACCAGAAGGTCAGATGTGCCCTGAACCTGCTAAGGTCCG